TAGTGGCTGTATGCAACAAACAATACAATGGATTTGACAAGATATATGTTTAATAAATGTCTTCTATATGTTTACATTTACATCGGTAACAAAATGTAATTCAATAGTAAAGTTAATCATGCAAAAAATCATCGATCGATTATGCTTGGAGTAAATGAAATATTCTTTATAAAAACAAGTCATTCATGTCAAACCATTTCATTCTTCTCAGTTCTGCAAAATACAACGTAGAAAGAACATCATTTAAACATGTGAACTAATTCATGATAATGATGCTTTTCTTATGAGTATAAACTAACATTCTCAAGTGTTAATTTTTTACTACTTCAAAATGTTGCTTTTATATGAAAGTGAAATCTTGAATCATCATTTTACACATAATGTTGACTATGAATTTTTAATCAAAACTTTAGCAGATAATGCAATTTCATCTTGGTTAACACTTGAGATAGTTGACACGGCAACTAACAGTACACCACTTAGTTGCTATGCCATATATATTTTGAATAAATAATAGCAAGGTATTAAATACTAAATCCGAACAAAGTTTTGTATGACTTTTAATATTATTTCAATCTTTAATTAGCTATGTGAAAACAAGCTTTTCAGCTTATCTCCTAAGTTAATGACAAGCAACACCTTTCTCAACTGTATATTAACAGAAAAGACTTTTTCAATAATTAAACGATCATTTTAAATGTGATTTTAAACGTTTCTTGATGTAGGCAAAACTATTCATATTTCAGAAAATAATTCTTTTACATAAATTTCTCTTTGGTTTACACAATAACCAGCTTATAAATGTTAATAAATGACATTGACAAAGTTTTTGTGGAAATAGTTGACTATATGAACGAATAAAGCCTAATCGATACATAGTTTACCATACATATTGTTGGCAAATGTTTGATCACTGAGTAATGAACAATATCATGTATATTAAGTACATAATAATTCTGATTGAATTCGATCAGTCACGAGTCTGAATGACTCGACACCCCATGTACGGTATATACACTCATTTTAAATGAATGAAGCAAACTATCTTAAAGCAATGGCCTATAAATCTTTCCAGTTGATTATTTTACTGATTTGAAGGTTACTTACATTCTTTAATGTTAATCTATAAATAGTTATATATAATTTTTATAAGCAGTTGCATGGAAGCTTTTGTTTACAATCATTTTAAAATCCATTTGTGACATGAAACAGTTCAATTAATAAAATGTATTTAGATATTTATCGAAAATGAATCACGTCCAATATACACTGATAAGACAAGAAGCCCATGTCTTAAAAAAAAGAAAACCAATAACTTCATTGCCAAAGTTAATAGCATTGACGAATGTCTATTTAAAGATGACATAGCTAAATACACATTAAAAAGGATGTCTATGGATGTCTAACTTGAAAAGTTTTCTTAAAATTAACTTTCAAGTGATTATCTTTCGTAGATGATGAATTCAGTTTCCATTAATCGATTGATATGGTCATGTATAAGTATTAATCGCTCAGTGGTGGTTTTTCTCAGAATGAATAAACATTATTAAAATGCACAATTGTAAAAACTTAGCAGATGGTCGATACGGAATCCAATAAATAGATACAAATCATTCTGTCTAAATAAATTCATAATTGAAAAACATCAATTAATCAATAGAAAGCAAAGATAGAATTTCCTTCTTCCTTCCATAGATTAAAAATCTTAAGTGCATTTAAGACTATATCTAAAGAAAATAATTCAGTCATTCGTAAACTATGACCATATCTTTTCATTCTGTAGCACCATCAACTCTTCTTCTCCCCATTTTTTTGACTTAACGGACATATATTCGTTTGGTAAATAAAGAAGGAATGAATTGAGCGAAGAAATTTCTTTTCATTTAGTTTTTCATCATGGCTCTACAATAATATATATATACGTTTTACAATAATAATATAATACTCATCGAGTGAATGCGTTACGTAATAATTACATAATGACATTTAAATTAACATTGATTAATTGGAAGAAAGAGGATTATTAATATTCAAAGTGATCAAGAAGAGCAGACGGAACTTTAAAAAGAGGGGTACACAGAAAATCTGCAGCAGGACAATACACTCATTTCTATAGTGCAGTTCCAATCAGATACAAAAGGAACTTGATAAAAATCTTGACACATCGGGCTAGAATGATTTGCTCTGAAGACACCATCGAAGAAGAATTGAATAATATTTGGAACCTTCTTAGCATGAATGGGTATCCCATGAAATTCATCGACAAACATATGATGGAGAAGTAAACAAGGACAAAGATACCCACCGTCCATAAGAAGGCACTATTCATAAAACTACAATTCATAAATGACACCATTGAAGAAACCTTGACTCAGAAGCTAAGCAGAGCTGTACAAAAAACATTTAATGCTGCCAGATTAAATGCAATCTTCTACAACTATCCTAAGATAAGAACAGCCAACAAAGACAGACTGCCTGAATTCGCCAAATCTATGTGTATCTATCGTTTCAACTGCTCCTGTGGAGCCAGTTATATTGGGCGTACAATTCGGCAAGTCCGTCATCGCATTACTGAACATCATCCGTCGTGGTTAAACAAAGGACAGGTAAAAGTGATTAAAAGTTCTATTCTCTCTCACTTGGTTGACAAAGGTCATCAAGTCGAATTGAATAAAGCTTTTAAGGTTATCTACAATATCTCATCTAATTTGCCACATGGTTTACGAGTGCGCCTCTTGCACATTGCGGAAGCCATTGCAATCCATGTTCACAAACCTGACCTTTGCATTCAAAAGAGATTCGTACAACCACTTTCCCTGCCCTGGCCATCAGTTTAAGATTTCTTTCAAAAGAACTATTTTTCATAATTCTTCCATTTTTTTTTAACTTTCATAATTTTATTTCTGTTGCTTTTGAACTTAATAACTTCTCAACATTCATCTCTTGATTCTTACGTAACTACCATCCTATTGACCATCCGTTAAAATTCTGTTCCTTCTTTGTTTCTTACATTACGCAACTTAGCAACTTCTTGATCACTTTGAATATTAATAATCCTCTTTCTTCCAATTAATCAATGTTAATTTAAATGTCATTATGTAATTATTACGTAACGCATTCACTCGATGAGTATTATATTATTATTGTAAAACGTATATATATATTATTGTAGAGCCATGATGAAAAACTAATTGAAAAGAAATTTCTTCGCTCAATTCATTCCTTCTTTATTTACCAAATGGCAAAATGGGAATTTTCACTATATATGCTTTTCTATTTGTTTTCTGATTACATTCAATTTCAACACTCAAATTTATTTTTTCAAGTAATTAAATTCACACTTGAATTCACGAGTTGATCTAAGCTAGACCACCATTAAAAACTTGGAAGTAGTGGACGGCCGTTTCGTCCTAGTATGAGGCTTTTCAGCAGTGCATATCCACAACTACGCACGCAGGACTCGCATACGAACGTTTAACTCTTAAACCACTGAACCGGCATCCGACGGTGTTAATGTCTAACTTAAATCGATGCATGGTCTTGCGTAACCCTTCATCGATTTTCATGATCCCTATTCTTTATCTTAATACTGTGGTATGATTAACGGATTTGCACGAACTTAAAATCAGCCTTTTTAGGAGCTTATGCAGAATAACACTTTTGTACTTAGTTTATTCCTCCCTTTTGTTACCATGTTCAACGAAATATTATTATCAATGGACACTACCGTTTACCAATAAATTAATGTATTTATAACAATCTACCCAATGCACAATTTTATTCAAAATTACCAAGTCAAACATTGGTAATGATACCTACTACCGTTTATCATTATGACTGTACATCTATGAGAATCAATCGGCTAAAAAGATAGCTCTTTCACAAATCACTACATTTTATTTTGTTTCAAAAAGTGCTTTCTACCTAGTCTTGCAGTAAATCATAGTTATGATTCAGCTAGACTGTTACTTATTTACAGTGTCTGGATAATATTGTTTCAACCTACTTTAAAAAGCCTAATAGTTTTGAAATACCTTGAAGATATAATTAGTTGTGAAGCAAGAAGCTTAGGATTACCACGAGCTGATCAACGATACCGAAATAGATGTTTTAAGTAAAACCGAGAATTAAGAAAACAAGATAAACAGACATTGATACTTCTTATTAGTGAAAACATTCAGATGAAAAGTGATATTATAACATTCGTATCAGAAATACCAGAGTTATGACGTTTTATATATAATGCCATATATAATTCACGTTATCCTCAAAATGGGGAGGTTCTCATGACAGTTAAAAGAACGAACTTACTGAGGTATAAATAAACAACGATTCTCAGTATCAGGTTGTAGAGGTTGTTGAATCTCACCAAAATCAGTAATTGATTCAAAGTAACTGGACGACTATTTTATCCTAGTATGACACTTCTCAGGATTGAGTGTCCACGATCCCCCAGTTGCAAACCAAACCCGAGAAATCCTGTCTCTCCAAGGTTTGAGTACGAAGCCATGACAAGTGGTGTTGAACCATGTTGGTTGCGAAGTATTTATTCACTTCAAGCTATAAAAGATTATCGCGCAATATAATAAATTGTATGAATTTAGAAATGTAAACCATTAATTATCGGCTTCGTAGTCTAGTGGTTAACCTTTCGCAGCCGATAGAGGTCCTGGATTTAATTCCCAGTCGAGGGGTTGTGAATGCACTCTGCTGAGGAGTTTTATGCTAGATCAAAACAGTCGTGAAATGCTTCCAGGTTTTCAATAGTTATATAAATTTGCTCGGTTTATAATTTCGATGAAATTTAACAGATAATCAACTCATAGATTGTTTTAAGAGAAGGATAGCTTTTTACATTTGAGATGTGAAATGATTCCAATGAGATCATTCTTATGCCACTTCTTTAGTTCCTTTCCTTATTATTTGTCGATTATTATCAAGCGAAGATATCATCCAGTTTCCAGTCAATTCATTAAATTCATTTTTAATTTGTTTTTTAGGAAGCCTCCGAAATTACTATATTGTCTCTAAAAGAGTCTGAGATACTTCGAGAAAAAGTAAAAAATGAATGTGAACTCAATCGAACATTGGACAGTGAGTATTGTTTTTCATTGTTTATCTAAATGTACTATTTATAAGAAATGTGTAATTATAACTTTCAAGTATAAACTAGCCTGTTTGAGATCATACTAATAAAATGCGTAGTGATCATAGAAAATAAGTAGCAGTTTATCATTTTAAAAATTAAATATGCGGAAAAATCAAGTATGTAAATATCACAGTTACAGTTAATACCATTGTTATAAACGAAGTTTTCCATACCGTAGCAAGTGAAGCTAAGTTCAAAAAGATTTAGAAAAATACGAAATGAAACATGGGTGGGGGCACAACATATCCAACATTATTGTTAAGATTGAGTAGTACTCATATGTTGAACAGATGACTTAACATATGATATGTCATAAATAGTAATTGAAACAGAATGGATGAAAACGATTTTTGAAAATGACTGACAACATAATCAAGTCACCCAGGTGACATGAATTTCCAATTAACGTCATGAGTCAATCCCTGTGGTATATAAAATCAAATCAAAAGGTGACGTAACTGAAAAAATGGTACATTCTCATAGAAAACCATGTAGATGCTTTCGTATCCGTTCTCACGGTGTACATGTTATATCTGGTGCATTTAAACTCATAAATTCATCTGACTATTACTTCAGAAGTATATAGATCCATTTGTGATTGGTATAAGAAATATTTGATGTCATATCACGGAGAAAGTGAGGCTGCAAGAAAAATATCATCTTAAATTTGCTTTAATCCTTTCATTATTTCTGCTTAAAGTCTCATTTCTCTGGTATCCAAGAGTTATCTGGGTCACTCACTAAACATTTTTTTCTGTATTCAAAAAGTAAACTTATTTGCATATTAAACTTTTATAAAACATGTTTAATTTATACGATTCTTACTTTTCTTTCGTAGGCTGAATACAACTTTCTAACTCTGTTAAATAAGATTTTAACTAAGCAGCCTTTGTAACTAACAGGATGAAGGATAATATAATTTAATTATTGCCCTGTCTATGTTTCTTTACAAAATATGCTTTTCTTGGTTATTTTGTCGTTCAATCGTTTTTATGTGCATGTCCAGATTGTTGAATTGCTTATTATAGGCATCAGTATTAACGTTGGATTTGATAGTTTCAAATAAATTGAGTATTGTGCATAGAGTTAATAATAAATATATTTTGTTATATCCCAATGGTAAGAAAATTATTTCTGACATTTTGTCATTTAATGTAGACTACGTCTTCAGAGTAAACAAATAATCGAAAGTAAAATAACACAAGATTAACTAGTACAAAGGAAACAGAACTGATCATTCCTTTAATAACCTCTCGTAAATTTAATGTTAACATATGTTTCCTCAACTCGTAAAACAATTAGGAAGCGTCATTTATATAATTACAAACGATAAATCCATCAACAATTTACCTTCTGTTGAATGTCATACATTTTTAATTTTGTATTATGGTTTGCTTGTTCAAAGTTAGCTATTTTCTAAACTAAAACATACAAAGACCATTTATAGCAGTTAAGATACTCTTAAATATAATGAAATGATTTTTTTCAGTTTTATTTAAAACTATCATAATATCAGGATGTATGGAACTGGGATTTGTTTGAAAATTAAAACTCCGACTTTGTCATCTAGCTACGACCAAACCACCTACATGCTTATGAATATCATAAATTGGTTTGCCAATAAAATTAGATATTGTTGTCTGTTGTTTAGGATATATCGACTGAATCAATATATAGGGAACTGTTAATAACCGAAGAAAACCGAATTATTGATTTGGGGTCTAAAATAAGTGTATATTAAAATCCAAAATAATCTATCAACAAATAGAGCTTTATTTAGCTCATTTACACAGTTATGTACAAACTTTTGATAAGAAAATAAACAAGAATAACTTTCATTTAAAGTATAAATAATTGTGAGTTATGGGTTTCATAGGCTAATTATTCAGCTCTGGAACTTAAGATCATTCTTTTATACTACCAGCTTTATAAAATATGTACAAATAAATGAAGTAAAAAGATTTCCTGGAGGAATGAGTGAAACGACTGCAACAAGAAGTGTTTCAGTGTAAGAATACAGCCTAAACCATAGGTTTTTACTAAACATGAAATTCTTGAGTGATAATATCTAACAAAGTACAACTAAAATCTATTCATAAAAATAATGGTAGGTGCTCAAACACACTGGATAAAATAAAATAAAATCTCCGGTATTATATCTGATCATTTGTAACTAATTGGTATCGTAGAGCATGTTGAACAAATGAGGACTCTATCAATCAATTAATATGTCTGTAATATCCCAATGAGTAGAAAAATTAGATTTTCTGACGTTTCGTGACTCATTGTAGGTCACTTCTTAGGAGAATTGATCCAGGTTTAAATAGTACAAAGGAACAACGCAAGAATATTATATATATAATGAAAGACCCTAATTTAGAAGGTTGTCAGAGTCCTCAGTTACTTTTCAGTTTTTTCATTGATGTTACAGTGTAACACCATTTGAAGTCATACTTTGTACTAAGGCATATGATACTAACCAGCTACCCAACATGAAATAAGATGCATTTCAGGCGTATAAGTCGGATAAAATTCTTGTATATTTGCTTTTACAACAAATCACTACATGAATATTCTTTTATGTCCAGTTTTACTTAATTATCTTTTTAAGAAAAAAACGAAAATCCAGAAATGTATCTAATATATAGTTCAGTAATCTTGAATCCATCATAATTATTTAAATATCATGGCTTGTATTAGCCTTTAAATAAAATACATTCATTAACAAATTGTTATTACCAAGGAACAAAACACCTTGATTAAATTGTACATAGTTGTATGAACGTCAGTATAGAACACAATTTTGGACATTTCTTGTTCTGAAAAGGACTACAATCAAAATGAAATTAATATCTCTTTATATATCCTTTAAAATGGATTGGCCGATTTGTCAAGAGAAATAATTAACTGCATTAGAGAACTATTCTACATTTAGAAAAATAAACTAATCCACTTGAAAAGAAAATGTTTTGATCTTTAACATTCATTTCGTACAATTAGTTTATTGTATCTTTTTCTTAACGTTTCTGAAAACAAAAAAAGAGGAAAAGAAAAGAAAACTATAAACGGAAACAAATGAAAATATGAAATTTCATGATTGATCTCATTTTCGAAACAACCATTAACTTCTGTTCATTCATATCTGGTTAGCTTTTCTTTTAAACTTGCCTGATATTTATTATTGAATATCGTATGTTGAATGAGAAAGACATTAATTTTGAAAGTATTGAGTTAAATTATAATAATTAGAATTTTATTTAAAAATAGAACATGATGTGGTTGGTATTCAGTATAATCCTTAAACTCCATATACAGTTCGTCTTGATAACCGTCATTAGATAACGCACCGACGGTGTATTAATTAGAAGACAAATACGAAGTGTTGATTACATTTATTATTGCACCACGTACAGATAACCAAGATTACAGGTACGCTAAGCAAGTATGAGAGAGTAGTGCCGGAAAGCAAGTGGGCGAGCGAGTGAGCGTGCGAGTTGAATGAGCGAGCGAACAGGATATATATATATATATATATATATATATATATATATATATATATATATATATATATGTTTAGGTGATTTAGTACGCTTTACTTTCACTGGTAGCCTTAATGAGTTTTAATTTTCGTTTTAATTTTTGTTTTCTAGAGAAATCTCAAATTTATTTTCAAACGGAATACTGTCTTACAGAATTTGATTCAGTATCTTGCTGGCCACCAACAAAGGGTGGAACAATTGCTAAAATACCTTGTCCATCTCATGTTCCAGGCGTTAAAATAACTGGGATGGTTTATCGCCCATGTAATATGACTATCAAGACACAAGATTTAAACGGGAGAAACATCATTGTTTGGAAATTCGATAGATCCAATTATAGTGATTGTGTACATCATGAAGACATAATGGCGGTTGGTATATACACTGTTTCTATTGAAATAATTTATTATAAATGTTAAACATTAAAATTTACTAGTCTACTCAGAAACTGCCTATGAATTGTAGCTTTTATGAGTTATGGATAATGTAACTGCTAGTATATATCTGTAGAAGATGTATGAGAATAAATAATTTACAATAAAAAATTCGAAAAATACTGGAACTCCGAAAATTACTTATGGTACAAAAAATTAGCAATCAACTTGATCTTTCATTTTGCTCATTGTAGTTACGGATAAACGTAAATAGGTTCATAAAGTGAATTACAGATCAAACAATGAATAAAACGCATATAAGCGAGGACTATAGTTTTCAGTCAGATCTTCATTAAGATTTACCCTAACGTAGAGGAATACTTATACGCATATATTAAAAAATATTCAGGTATTCAATACTAATAATGAATGGATTGTATAACCATATATAAATGGTGAAAGTACAAATTGTTAGTAAAAAGACAGGTGGACAAGTAAAGATAAGATCAATAAAATGTCGTTTTAACCAGCAGTTCAAATACGAAAGTAAGTCAGAACTTGAGAGATGGGAATGAAGATAATGATCAATAAAAGCCATTAAAATTACGTCATAAATATATGGAAGAAAGTAAATAAAAACAAATAAATACGGAATGGGAAAATTTAATAATATCGTTTATTAGGTCATATACTCACAAAGAAAGGATTTTTTCAGCACGTAAACAAGGGTTATTAGTTTCGATCTTTATGGTTCCTGTTATATATACGAGACGAAATTGAATTATACTGAGAAACGACAAATTATACGATATATTAGAAGTAATTCTTAACACTATCGCTTGATTGGCTTAATATAGCATAATAAACGATCTTGCCTATATTTTCTCCCATTCAATGTTTATTTATCATCTTCTCTTCCGTTTATATTTCTTCGTTTATAAATTCGTTATAATATTCATTCACTCAGATATCTCATGCAATTATTAAATAAAATTACAATATCCTAGTGAATCAAAATTGCTTAAAAGTTCCTATTCTTGTGCTCTTTTTTTGTAAAGACGTAAAAAACGTTTGAATGTTATAATTCACCATTTATATCTTCATTTATTTCGGTTATAGATCCATTTGCCTATCATACAAACTTCTGTGTTTTATGGTTACGCAATATCTATGATTTTATTATTAATAGCTACTGGGATAATTTTACGGTTTCGGTAAGCCATAGTGTTTTGTTTTAATCGTGATGGTCCGTGGTAATTACATTTTCTATAGTGAATATGTTAGTAAAGCTAATGATCTTCTTGACTGCAGTACTCAGAACCATTCTGTCAAGCACACTCATTTTCCTATTCAAATTAGTGTTGTTTAGTATTAACTGATTTATCAGAAGTTACCGTAACAAATGTTAAAAAGACTAACTAAAATTGTTGTCGAAACTAATTTTCATCGATTGTAATTCATGAATTGACCTTAGTTCCACAACCTATGTGCTATAACTTGTCGGTTGAATGCTTATTGTCTTGGATCTTTCAACGCTACTTTTTGTATCTGGTCATCACTGATTGTTATGTCGGAAACGCTTATCACATATACTCGGAACGAGGAACCTCTGTGATCCCCACGACGTGAAAGTAAGAACACAATGACTGGTGTAATTGATAATTTATCAACCCCAAAACACGACGACAACGATTCTAGTAGAAAATACACTTATTTATACATTGATTGTACACCCATTTTGATTAATAATTAGAATGAAATCAGATATATGAAAAATACTTAGAGTTATAAGAAATCACATACTGAGCATAGTTCAGGTCAATGGAATACAAGACTATCGCATATTATACAGAATAAAATATCATACGAGAAAAGGAAACAAATACTAGATTGAGTAATCATTATATTGAATCAAAACGGAAGTAATCTTGAACGAAACTAATAATGGGTAAATCAATCGAAAATTGACTTTTCTTTCCTTCATATCACTATGAAAATCGGGAGACCGAATACCACGGATTCTGTTCCGTGTAGTGATGTATACACACTCATACTAGGACAAAACTACCGTCTATTTCTTCCAGGTTGTGAATGGGGATAAGAACAAGATCTATTTATAATTTAAAAACTATGAAAATTCCCTAATCTCCCCTATGCCTTATACTGATAAAATTAATTTCATCAATTTTGACGTGTTTAAATTATTTATGTTGATTTTTTAAAACACTGATTTAACTTAAACTTCTGAAAGTTTAAAAAGTCACCACTGTACTTAATTTGTCTTGGTTATTCAAGCGTTGAAAAATAGATTCTAATCAGATTGTAATAAGTGATTGCATACAATGTGATGTTAAATAGGTTGTGCATATCGGATGCATGATTTTCTAGTTCCCTTTACAACGAAAGGATGTAGTACTTCAAAAAAAAACGTCCAAATTTTTTGGTTTTTGAAAGTTTGTTATTTTTCTTTGGTTGCCATCGTATATAGCATAGACTGGGCAGTTAAACAGACTATGCATATTGAATTACAATTTAAAGTTTGGACTTTTTCCAACTTACATCTTTTCAACACATAACTTCTTCTACAGACTACCTATATTATCTAAATTTTTGATCATCTTGGACGGCACAATAATATTACGATTGTAGTGTAGTGAAGGAGAACACAGGTGAGGACAACCGAATTATTAATAGCACGACATTACAGAGTTACTTGGTAAAATAGAACAACCATACTATAATGCTTAATTTGCAAAATGTTCAATAATTGTCCCGAACTTCATTGTTTTTGCATTTCCATACTATTTACTTTCTATTCCCGCTCTTCCTTTCTTGGTCTTCCCCATCTTCTGCTGCCAGACATTACATTCCTGACTCGCGTTATATACTACTTATGTCAATATAAGTAACACGCACCACAGTAGTACATAATAATTACTCGCATCGATCATTAGTTGAGCACATACCTGAAGTTTAATATTTTAAACTAAATCTATTTTCTGACAAATCTGCCTTTACTAAATGTAAACAATCAGTGCGAAATAACCAACAAATATGAATCTGTAATTGTTATATGATTTCAAAAATGACAATGAATTTAATGTAACTGGTTCGTTTTTGAAAAAGACCTATATTAAACTTCTGGTGAGACTATAATTTATGGACGAACCAATCAGATTTGAGATAACAGGTCTCGGATTTTAGCGCAAAATTCATACATTCATTTGGTTATATACTATTTCGGCATTATGGCTGATGTAAATTCGTGATGAAAAAAGTAAATCTAATTTCTAAGTTTAACCATCAACCGTAAATCGTATTTACAGTTTCTCACATTGGTTTACAATCTTCATTCAGAAGGGGTTTGTGGAGATTTTTAGAAATTTTCACAGATTGAAATCATGAGTCAGTTGAAGCTAGACCACCATTGAAAACCTGGAAGCACTGGACGGCCGTTTCGTCCTAGTATGGGACTCCTCAGCAGTGCGCATCCACGACCCCGCACCACGCGGGGCTCGAACCCAGGACCTACTGGCTTCGCGCGCGAGCACTTAACCATTAGACCAACTGACTCATGATTTTAATCTGTGAAAATTTCTAAAAATCTCCACAAACCCCTTCTGATAATAATCATCTGCTCACTAGTGACTGACTTCAAGAGATACTCCTGGAGTTCTAGTGAGAAGCCGTTACCAGTGGAGTACAACCAGGTCTGTTGTGAGATATCAGCTCACTGAAGACAATGGTATATGGTGGCGCAACTTCGTGGATTGGTTGAAGTTAGACATTTACACCGTTGAATGCCGGCTCAGTGGTCTAATGGTTAAGTGCTCGCGCGCGAAGCCAGTAGGTCCTGGGTTCGAGCCCTGCGTGGTGCGGGGTCGTGGATGCGCACTGCTGAGGAGTCCCATACTAGGACGAAACGGCCGTCCACTGCTTCCAGGTTTTCAATGGTGATCTAGCTTCAACTGACTCATGATTTCAATCTGTGAAAATCTTCATTCAGACCTAATTAATAGGTGGACATTTTCATAGTCATTCATAGGTCATCCATAACTTGTAGTCTTATCGTATTAAGTTTACAAATTAGATAAGTTAATTTTGACTTTAATTTTTCTTAATCAGTTTACTAGAAATTATGATAAATATAAGTAACTACAATTTCATTAAATATCGATAATATTACGTCATATGTAATCTAATCTCATATGATTCTATTCACTTTCATTCATATTATTAAAGCATAATTAATAGCTTGATATTATTATGCACTTAATTATTATTAATAAAAAAATATGATTCAAATGAGTAATGATTGAAATATACACTGTTATCATATGTAATTGACTGTGTTAGTTCTTGTGTATTGATTATATGTAATTAATTGTTGAATTGTGACGTATAGAGAGACCAATTTTAAATAGATGAGAAATAACTGATTTTATTAAAATTAAATAAATAATATTTGTATCACAATGGGTAATTTCAATAGTTGAAATCATGAGTTAATTGAAGCTAGATCACCATGGTAAATCTGGAAGCACTGGACGACCGTTTCGTCTTAGTGACTGAGTTCAAGAGGCATTTCCTGAAGTTCTAGTTAGAAGCCGTTACTAGTGGAGTTCAACCAAGTCTGAAGATAATGGTGAACGGTGGAGCACTTTCGTGGATTGGTTGAAGCTAAATATTTACACCGTTGGATGCCGGCCGGCTCAGTGGTTTAATGGTTAAGCGCCTGGTGTGAGATTGATAGGTCCTGGGTTCGAATCTCGCAGGGGGCGAGGTCGTGGATGCGCGCTGCTGAGGAGTCCCACAATAAGACGAAACGGTCATCCAGTGATTCCAGGTTTTCCATGGTAATCTAGCTTCAACTGACTTATGATCTTAACCACTGAAATTACTATAATATCCACAAAACCCATCTGATATTAAAATATATAAGTAAAAATGAAACAGATATTTTTGGAGACAAGTACCTTTATTACTTATATGGTTATGTAGATTATAACAATTGATATTTGATAAGCTATAAACATACACTAAGACATTAAAAGTTAACAAAACACTTTACTATTAGATAATACAATATGATAAATCATAATATTTAAATAGCTGGGAACACTATTTGATAATAGTTTATCATTGTGAACAATCAAATATTATATGTTAAAAGTATAAGTAAAGCGAAAAAGGAAAATATTAGAAAAGAAAATAGATATTAGTTAAGATGACTGTTTTTTTATTTATTAATATGCTAATGAGACTGGTTAAGGTTTGGGTCTTTTTAGCGAGTTAGTTTTCTAAAATTCAACGTAAATGAATAGTAAGCGTAAAGAACAAATTATTCACATGATGTTTACTTTATGTTTTATGTAAGTTCATGCAGTTAGAATGAATATTCTAAACTCAATGACATTCATTTACCTTTCCATGTATGTGATGTAAAAGAATCTTCTTGTTAATATATGTTCCTAAACTCACTTATTTACTTACTTACTTACGCCTGTTACTCTTCGTGAAGGAAAATAGTCATCCCACCAGTGTTTCTAAACTTACTTAATGGATATTGACAAGATAGTAGTGATAAATACTCATTGATATAATGAAGAAATTTTATTTATTTAACTAAGGATTCTAAAATACGTTATTCATATATTTTATAATCTTATTTTTCTTATTTACAGACGTCTCAGATGCACAAGGAATAATCTACATTTGAATTTGTTCAGTGCAATTTTGCTACGTTGCGTCTTACATTTTATAAAACATGCAGCAGACGGTCAAGGGGTAGGTGATCATAAATAATTAGAATAGTAGTAGTACAAATGTACTTTTTTACATAAAAGCATATGTTATGTACGAAACTAATACTTAAAAAAAGTTTTGTAAATATACTATTGCATGGCTTGATAATAAATTCGTTGAAAAAGTGATCATTTCCCTGAACTTCGTGTTTTTTTTAACAGTTAAAATGAGTGCATGGTAAAATATGGAAAATGACATTTGTGTTCGTATCAAAGTTATTGGTCTAAATAATAACAAAAAAATTAAAACAGGAAATTACAATGTCTTATTGAAAAAATCAATGGCGGTTCAGCTGAGATTAGTTTGTGATTTAGACTATGATAAGTTAAAAATCTGGGTAATCTGTGCTGACTAATAACTAGTTTCAAGGGGTAATTCCTAGAGTTTTAATGACAAGCCGTGACCACGGGGGTTCAGTGAAGTCGTATATGAAGCACTTATTCATTGCAATCTGTGAACGATTTTTGCGTAACGTCGTGAGATAGACATGTAAAGCATTCGGTGTTTGCGAACAATACAGTTCTTAAATTCGATTCTTTAAGTTTGGTTTGTGGATAGGCTCTCCCAAATGGTCAAAAAATACGATGAAACAAAAGTTCAGTGTTTTCTATTTTTAAATGATGTTCTAGCTAATATCAACTCATGACTGAAGCCACGAATAATATGAGAAGCAAAATTCGAATATCGCCGGAAGATTATGGATACCATTATCTATAAAACTGGAATTGTTTCAATGGGCTCATAACGAAAATTTAAAATCTTGAGTTGCTAATTTCATGCACATAGATAAGTTCTTTTGTTTATTTCTACATAATAATTGGACTAAAAATGGGTAGATTATCTTACTGAAATAACGATTCATTTAAACCATATAAGTGTATTGTCAATAACTGGCATTTCATAATACACTCAACATTTCATACAATTGATATTTTAATCTCCATGGTGTAATCTCAACAATCGAGTCAAGGTGAAATAATTATGAATTCTCACAGGTTGAAATCATGAGTCAGTTGAAGCTAGACCACCATTGAAAACCTGGAAGCACTGGACGGCCGTTTCGTCCTGGTGTGGGACTCCTCAGCAGTGCGCATCCACGATTTCAACCTGTGAAATTTCTAAAACTCTCCACAAAACCCATTCTGATAATTATGAATTCAGTTACAATGGTGTATATGACCTTTTTTTAAAGGTCAATACGGTAATTCAATAGAGCGTTTTTCTTGATTCATAATCCTCAAGACTTTTCTTAATTTAAGAGTTTGTGTTAATGTTTAAAGAGTGTATGTGATTAGATTTTTGTTCTGATAATTCAATAAATAATAATGAAACAAATGAAATCACCTATAAATTGAAATATTATTCTTTTGTGTTATTATGAATATAAATATTAATGATGACTTATACATTTAGTGCTAACTACATAATGTAAACCATAACAACAAACGAAAAATGAGCTTTTAAAAAATAATTATAAAACTAATTACATAACAATAACATATTCATTTGAATAAAATGAATATAATAATTGGAGAAAGGATATTTTTAATTGATCAGTAACCATTCAAAATATGAATTGTACAATGTGAACTATTAATGAGAACATTTATAAATAATGAAATTAAAATCCTAGAACTAATTGAATGAAATGGATACACTATAAAGAAAAGAGTATAATATAGTATAGTACATGGACTCTGTGTCATTTCTTAGTTACCTAACAAATTAAACAATACTATTTTAATGGAGTTTTGTTCTCTGAGCTACAAATCTTCTCCACCATCTCAATACTATTTTAGCCTTACTAAAAATATAATTATGGGTGAAACTATAATTTATAGACGAGCCAATCAGATATAAGATAATGAGTTTTGAATTTTGGTGCGAAATTCATCTATACATTTGGCAAAATATCATTTTGGCATTATAGCTAATGTCACTTAATGATGAAAACCATAAATCTAATTCCTAAACCTAACCATTAACAGTAAATCCTAATCCCCATTTGATCCTAGTTAGCAGGTGAACATTCTCAAGGTCAGTGTGGCGTCGCTTATAGGTCGTCCATAAATTATAGTCTCACCAATTATTCTTCTAATATGATACAAAACATTTAAATAAAAATATGTAACAATTCAAAAATTTTATTTTTTTTTCATTTTAAGGTTATTTGCAAAGTATTCACAACTCTTCATGTGTTTACAATTGAAGCAACATATTCTTGGGTACTTATGGAAGCACTTTATCTTCACAACAGTGTTCTTGTTCATGTAATGCATGAAAGTAGGACATCTTTTATTCTTTATGCTTCTATTGGATGGTGTAAGCTCTCAATACACTTTTATTTTTGTTTGAAATTAATTGTTTTAAAACATTATTTTTAATATTTCAGTATCAAAAACAAAGCCGTTTATGACAATTACACGTCGTATCCCTATAGCAGAAATGATTTTATCAGTACGTAATGAATTCGTCCAACTGATGAAAAGCACATAATATGGATAATTGATTGTAATTTCATGTACGGGACTTGAAGTTCGGCGAATTATAATACTCCATGAAACTGGAATAGTGTTAAGATGGACTCCATACGACTTATTATTACTAGTACAAGCCAATTAATTAGTGATACTACTTTAAATAGAAAACATTACATACTTGCTTAGATCCAATACCTACCGTGGAGGATCATAGGCCATGAACCAGAATTCTCCGGCAAATTATGTCCTAAGCTCTTCTTTTTAGTTGTTTCCATTGGCTATATTGTCTACATCCAAGTCCCAATATCATGTGTTCTCTAGTTTTTCTCTTTTCCTTTTGCCTTCACGAATGATAGTTAAGGCTTACCTTGTGGTGCAGTTCAATGATTTCCGCAATGTGCGTCCTATATATGTAAATCAATGCGCCAGTATTTAAAGCAACTGAAAATTCTGTCGTAATTTGAAAATACCAGAAAATCTAAATTATCTGCATAGACGTTTGTATCGATACATAAGCTAAAAACTTATTTCTATATTTTATCTGCTTGATGTAAACAACTATCCGAAATCTCAATAGGATTATCTGTAGTGAATTTGATTATCGGCCATCTAAAAACTGTCAATATTCAGACAAATTTGATTGGAACAATTTAGCTAACAACAACTATTTTGTATAAATATCTATATATCTGTAAATGAAATTACAAACTAAAAGGTTATTTAAGCAAAAATGGATAGTGGCTAGCAGTGGAATCCAGTCTGATGCGCGTTTCGTCCCATTTGGAACTCGTCCGCTGGATGTACCTGCATCCCAGCGTTGGTGTTCATAACATCAAGTGAATTCAAACTTCACCCTAATGGACAAGCAGGTGTCCATCAGGACACAGTAGCTAAGTAGACAATGCGATGACGTTTCAAGTGAACGGTACTGGGTTTGAGTCTGGGAAGCAGGTAACGCCAGCTGGCGAGTCCCAAATAGGACGAGATGCGCATCCTTTATTCCACTGCAAGCCACTATCCATCTTTACTTAAAAAGCTTGTGACTTAAGGCTATATTGAGGCAATTCGCAGCCAACATGAGACTGATCGAATGCAGTCCTAAATAACAATGGGAAGATTCCAGAATGAATTGAATCATTTGTTTTTACCTAAATATGTAGCATTTTGTATTTATGTGATATTTTTTACAACCATACGTTAATCAGTGATTCCTACATTTTCTCCTCATATTTCTATTTGCTTGAATGTGACAATCATTTACTGTCACCTGAAAAACAGGCGAGGGAAACCAAATTATGATATCTTATCTAGTTTTGATGCAAGCAAAACGACCATATAAGTAACTTCTCTATTGGATTGATATCTATACTTTTCATGTATGAACAAATAATTCACTAGAGAAATTATAAATAAGAGGCTTATAGATAAGAACGTTCGTCTAAATTTGATCGAACAGTTCCACAGTATTTGGGCTCCGAGTTGATGTAAGACATTAAAAAGGAAGAATGTATTTATAAAAGACTTATAATTCAAATACCCTAATACGAATATTTTAAAACACTGCATAATTTTTACATTAATAAACGTACAAATTAAAGATATCTGGGTTACACAATGCCTGTTTTTATATAATCACAAGTATCAGTACCTACAGACTATATTTTTATGACTGAAAAGTTTATTAACATTACTTAAATTAGATGATAAGTAAAATATTTGTGAAGTTCTTTCCAGATAAATCTTTCAACATAGCAACAATATAACATTTATCAGTTCCAGTCAAAGTTATTTATCGACTAAGTGTAAATTTTGAATCAACTATGACTAAAGGTAATATTAAGTAATGTAATTCAGATGTTTTTTTTCTCAGTGGAAATATCATCTTAGTTAGCAACTCTTAAAGACTAATACAATATAACAAATATTTTTTGAGGGGGATAAAGGTCTTTTGAAAACTTTATTGAATGATAATTTTATTGTTCTGGAATAATACTACTTGTAATTTCGTAAGTTTATATAGACTGTCAACTATTCTACATTTTAATGATGTAGATAGTACATATTTTCAAAGTGAATATAAGTGAAATGAATAAAAGTTTGGAATTGTATTATTTATTTATTAAGTAACATTACATTATATATATATATATATGACATGCAAACTATATAAGCCAATGAAAAAAGGAAAAACAAAACAGATTACGCAATACTTATATGTATACTTGAACAAAGGGTTTATTCTATTTTCTCTGAATAAGAATTGATTTTAAAAGTTGCTGAAAAAAAACTATGATAAAGAAGTATATACCTACATATTAGACTACATCTTAATGTAAAGTATAAGGGTAATACTAGTCTATTTTTTTGATGGAGTTTTGTTCTCTGAGCTAGATGGTTTGGTCGTGTAAGATAAAGACCTCCAATCAACTGCCCATTAGGATGGAAAATAGCTGAGCAAAGTGGAAGAAAAATGGTACACCTAATGATAACGGATGTACACGACCAAACCATCCAGCTCAGGGAACAAAACTCCATCAAAATCATCCACCTGAGCTACAAATCTTCTCCACCATCTCAATACTAGTTTATCATTCGATTCTCATCGTTCAAGAACTATTCAATATGAACATTTAAACACTTTATTTTTATCCAAAATAGCAAAAAGAAAATGAGAGCTGATCCAACGAAACACAATGTGAATTATATGAAAAGCATTCAATATACTGAAATTCCATTTTGTTCTATTTTTTAAATATTCAAAACAGCTAAACATTTTCATTACCAATCATTTTGTATTATATACAGTATGAAACAAATGTTTCTTATTTCTTGTCGAAACTTAAATATTCTCTAAGTAAAATGAAGTAGAACAACGATTTTAGTTAATTACAAAGCTTAAAATTTCAACAATTGACTGATCAATGTCACGTGGGTCATGTCCTCCGTAATTCAGATGGAATCCTATCAACCAAGTTGCAATGTGGCCACTAGTCTATGTGACTCGACATTTCATGAACTATGTTGAGATAAGATGGTGGTTGAAGGTAGTCGACAAGAAACCCTGAACCTAGATTTCATGCCATTTGGCACTCGTCAGCAAGGTGTACCTGTTATCTTGAGGGAACTGATGCACTCGGACAGATTCTATCTCCTGTCATCCAGTTTTACAGTCAGAGACGTTACCGCTGAGCTCTCCGTGTCGCGATTACAGGCACACCTTGTTAATGAATACCAAATAGCACGAAACCTAGGTCCAGGGTTTTCTATCGATTATCTCCAGCGACTATCTTAGCTAAAAAATAACTTGTTAAGTGGAAGTCTTTCTTTGAGCTATAAAATTATTTTGATTTCCTCATTTCTTCACATTCAGAAGATCTATAATTCATAATTATTCATCAAATAATTTTCATTAAAACATAATTTTGAAAAAAATTCACTTGCTTCTTTCTTATTAGCCCTCCCAATATTGGTAATTGCTGTATGGGTTTTATTGAGAATATTCGTGACAACAGGTGATCAATGTTGGGATTTAGACATTGGTTCTGGTAGCCCAAGTAGAATACTTTTAATTGTATATCCAGCAATAATTATGTTGGTGAGTTTTTCTTATTCTGGTGCATGAATTTTAGAAGTAACTTGACTATAATTCATAAATCCATAAATTTAAAAACTTGGATGTTTTTGTTTTATTAATATGATAAAATCCAAGGCAACCCCGAGATAATAAAATACTAAGTTAATTGATGCAATCAAACAGAAAGTATCTAGTGATCCGAATGTGATGCAGTAATATAGGTCAAAGAAATTCACAAACATACTCTCAGAATATATAGATATTTTAACAAGTCAGTTTTTTCACTAACATTCTTTAATGCTGAAGTATATGCATTAACAACTTGGCAACTATAAACACTGTTGTGGTGGATTCAAACTTAAGACTACATTTCCAACAACTCAGTAGACTTACTGTATATTGAAAGGGTAGAGTTAGTTGCTCGTGCCTGTTTATAAGATGGATGTTCCATAATTGGTAACGTTGTTTTTCAACCGTTCCCACAGAACTCTCATATCAAAATATTATTATAAACAAATAAGATAAAATGCAGAAAATCTTATGAACTTCGATGTGATTGATTGGCATTTCGTTTAGAAAAACTTTTAAGTTGTAAATGATGTCAAATCTTGAAAGCGTTTTGTAACTTTCCCGAAACCTTTCAAATAGGAAATGCGACTAGTTAACTCCAATAGAATATAATTCCTCATCTGTTATCTTATACAATAATTTGGCCAACCTCTTTTACTAACGATGATACGAAAATTTAAGTACAAAAATGTGCTGGAAAAATATATTTCATGCAAATCAATAAACAGATGAAAAGTAGGCTGTGATGATTACTGGCCGAAAAACGATTGCTGAATTGTGAATCATCTTATGTATAAAAATAACGAATATACAAAATACAGATAAGTAGTTAAACTAAAGATAAGGATAGATATTAGACATGAACTCAAAAGAAGCACATTTAACAACTTGCATAAAAATAGTTAATATAGATACAAATAACCTAGGTGCATATAGAAAATCACAGTAATTTTCGGTGAATATATAATTGGTAACACTCATTAGTCACTTGCCATCTGGATTACTAATGCCTGTCCGAAAGTTAGAACGCAATCATATAAGCGTAGACTGGTCATTTATGCACTTTGTTATAAACATAAATAACTAACTGTTTACGATTAGAAATTTGTAATGGTTTTTAAGCATCGTCTGAGCATTTGATGTTTAAAACTTTTTAGAGGACATACACTAAAATCCTTAAAGAATCAAACACATCTTTTCCTTACCAGGATTATTGTATCCATTGCAGTAGTGAGGATTGTTAACCAGCTGTCTGATAATAGCTAAATAAATTACCGTTTTTGTTGACACCATAATTACAATACAGATATTGATAAAAGAAAAAAGAATCAAGAGCAGTTTTCAGTTAATTAACTTTGTCGATTGTTGAATTTACTTTCACAAAATTCGTAATTTATTTTTTTATTTTTTACATAAATGGGTTATTGTGTAATGATTGATGTGTACCATTCAACTTAAGTTTATTCGATATCTGATTATTCAATGTAAATAATATTTGTAAAAGCAAAATGTATCTACATGATTTCAAATCCATTTAAACGTCTACCTTTTACCCACTTGCATTAAGTTATACATCATCGTATTTAGCTTCTAAATTTAAACTTTTCATTAGGTTTAGTCAAGAGGAATATGAATCTAAAGAACCTGTTCAATCGATCCGCGTTCCAATTTACAATCCAATAATAAAAATGAAAATTATTCATGCATAAAAGAAAATCGTTTTTCTTTGTGTGTTACTAGACATTACGAAATCATATAATTTAAAAAGTAACGATGAAACACCTAAGATCCGTGAGAATAATTAGAGCTTATCTTCGGTAATAGAATGTATATCCAGACAAGTCAAATAAAATTGCCATTTTAAACGTATTAGACTCTATTAGCTTAATACTTCGACATACTTGATAAATTGGAATTTGACGTGAAATAAATTTCATGAAAGTATTTTTCATTCTCTTTTGACTGTATGATGAATGGGAAAACAGTTCACTGGCACTTTGTTTAATTTTCAGATACTTATTTATGTATCAGTTATTTGTCAGGAATTATATCGATCATGATGAAATCCCAGTTTTTAAACAAAATTTTCGTGGATTGGTTGATGTTAGACACTGACATTATTGAATGCCGGCTCAGTGGTTCAGTAGGTTAAACGACCGCGCGCGAGAGTGAAGGCCCTGGGTTCGAACCCCGCGAGCGGGATTGCGGACGCGCAATGCTAAAGAGTCCCACAATAAAACGAAACGGCCGTCTAGTGCTTCTAGGTTTCCAACGGTAGCCCAACATCAGTCGATTCATGATCTCAATCAAAAACTTAATACTCTTCACAACCGCTATACGGAAAATGTTTCAGTGGATAACTTATCAGTAATTAGTATTGTTACTTTAGAAATTGTAGATCATTGTAGATTTATGACGAGTAAGTTTGGCTCAATTCATCATAGCTGGATGGAATTACCATAAATATATATCTAGTTATATATTTATTATTATTATTAGCTTTACTCAATGTTATATTTTTGGTAGATTATAGAATTCTCAGAACAAAGTAGTTTAGCAAGTTTCCGTTTCTTATTTCTTGATCGATGATGATGATAAATGCTAAGAGATCGACAATTAGATGTTAGCATTTCAGAAATCGATATCTGAATAATGTTCATTCTTTTCAATCCATACTGCTAGCAATCACGACGTCTCCGATCATAAATTTTTGTAACTTGTAACGAGAAAGGTCGTAAATTTCTCATAAACACACAAAAAAACAGATAACTTATTGAAATATCTAGATGGCAAGAACAAGGTAGTCCAGATATTCAAGCAGACCGCCTTGTGATAATTTTTAAATGAATTTCAGGCTATAACTCTTATTTTTCTAAGTCACTGATCGGTAACTACCTCACATCCTGCGTGGTTGGACTTTGAAAATCATGACTCCTCACAAGAGTGTCAGCGATCACTGAAGTATTTTCATCCTACAACGGAAGAGCTGTTCGGGGATCCCTGATTTTCATTTTGTTTTTTTAAACTAAGCTCAATCATCATTAAAAGAATTAGATTTACTTCTCAGAATTGTATGACTGGATTTTGAAAATAGTTGGTAAACTATATGTTTTATAGACACTTTAAGCATGAGTATAGACCATTTGGACCATTATTTTACATAGATTTAAAATAGAAAAGTTAATTTTGATTTTCCCTTGCGTGTCTTTCCGTATTAAGTATCGAGGTTAAACTAAAATATTGAATTCATTCTGGTTTCTTTTTAATACATTCATTTATTTGCACAAGATAAGTATCCTTATCACCAAGCATACCATAGACTGCAATGTAGAATGGATTATAGAAAAAAGAATTTGATCTTCAGTCGCTTCTTCCTTATTTACATTGTTAGATTTTAACTATATGAATTATGAATTGAACAAAAATTCGATTGTTTTGTCAATATCAAAAAGATAATTTTAGGAAAATCTGCTTTATTCAGTTCTCTTCTTTTACCCATAGTACTGTTCAATCACACTATTGAAACATAGCTTGGTTAATACTTACTTACTTACGCATGGTAACCCTCGTGGAGGAGCAGGCCGCTCACTGGCGTTCTCTATCCAACTATGTTCTGGGTAATCTTTTCCAGTTGCTATTCACCCTTTTCATGTCTGCTTCTGATCCTCGTCTCAGTGTGTTCTTTAGTCTTCCCCTTTTCTATTCCCCCACACGATTCAAAGTTACAGAATGCTTCGTGATGCCACTCGATTATTTCTTCAAAGTATGTCCAAGTCACCTCCAACATCGTCCTCCTATTTCCTTTTCACATGGAAGCTGCTTTCACTTCTCCCACAGTAGGTTGTTACTGATGGTATCCAGTCAACGGACAGTGAGTATCTTGTGTAAATAATTGTTTATAAATACTTGTACATTTTGACGATGGTTGTAGTAGATCTCCAAGTTTCGTCTCCATATAGTAAAACTGTCTTGACAATCGTATTAAAGATTCTTACGCCAAATTTGACTAACAGCTGTTTTAAGTCCCACATGTTCTTCACTTGTAGGAATTCCGCCTTTACTTCGTCATTCCTTAACATTACATCTGCTTACATAATAATTTTTGATCAATGATATATTCGAATACGTACTTATTGGCATAAAATAAGTTTAATCATTACGCAATATATGTATATATTGTAGGATGCAATCATGGTTATTTTTTTATATTTATTTACATACAGTTTAACTTGGCATTTTTCATCAATTTATTACGGGTGATATTTAACAAAACACAATCGCAACCAATGAGTGATGCCAAACGTTTAAGGTATGTAATAAATTACATAAGATTTAGTTAATTTACAGTCAATATGTTAATTACAGAATCCAAATGAAGAAAAGTTATCAATATTAACTTACTTTAATATGAAGTACTGTAAATTTTCTATATCTACTCCTTTATTATTGAAGAACTCTTGATAATATAGTCTATAGAGAGTCATATATATACTGCATTTTTTATAAGGATTATTTTGACTACCTGTATTTTCAATTAACTGGAAATATTTAACACCAAAAACTCGAATTCGGTATTTCATGATTTGTATCATGAAAGGATCTCGGTTGAATAAAAATTTAAAATCATGGAGTATTGGACAGTGACTTTGTTCTACAATGGGACTTCTTAAAAGACAGAACCTATGATCCTATCTAGAATCGAACTAAATTTTCAATTTTCAAACGAGGCTGACACTCAGTGGTTTCATATTTCAATAAACCATGAAAATCGGACAATTCCTAGAAATCCCTGTTGTAATAATAATTCTAAATAACTTAAAATTATATGATTATTGAACAAAGCCATATGAGTGATGTAAACATAATTGTGAATCTTGATTCTACTTTAATCTCAAGTATGCAAGAATACAAGAATACAAAGCGAATATCTGTTGCTTCTTTTATTGGTTCGTTCATTTGATAATTTAAAGATAACCAGCTCATAATATTTTCATATTTGACTGGTTCTGTTTTATGAGTGCTATGAACTATTCATTACTATGAAGTTCTAGAAACTTACTGAGAATTAATGGTTCATTGATGTGATGGTATTAAAAAATCTATTTTAGATTTTTGATTGTGATTGGAGAAATCGTTTGCATTCATATATCACTTATAAGAAATAGACTACATTGAAACGTTAATTATTATTTAAAAGAAAAACGTTATTAGTTGTTTACCTCTTTATTCGTGATTACAGAACCCAGAAACCTCGTCAATTAATTAATTCATCCAGAAAATAACGCTTGAGTCATGTTTAGGCAAAAGATCTTACAAATTATTTTTACGTACACACAACTCAGGTTTTACATTGTGGACAATTGAACTACAAACAGTGTAATGTAGATTAAGGCTTTTATCTTTCGAAATCTTCAGCTAGATTTTATAAATAATATCAAAAGGCTTAGTGTTGTAATTGTGCTACATGTTACAGAATATATATGATTCAGTTGAACTGTATTGTATTCTGTTATGATATTTTGATAGGTAGTCAAAGTTCGCCTAAAAACTAATAAAATTCATCAAATACAATTACTGACATGTAATTTATGACAGTTTTCAATTATATTGCAAAATTAAGAAAATGAAGGAGATAATAAAAACTTTTTTTATTGAATAGCGCCCTAAATAAGTTAACATGTTAAATATATCATAACTTACTCTATGAAACTTTAATGGGTAATTAACTGTTTTATATCTCACCGTGTAAACCGTATTTGAATACGAATGTCACGATTAGTAACAACTATCCTTGCAGATATTGTACATTTTAGTCAATAAAAGCCTTTGTGAACTACGATTCAATAATGACCACAAGTGGAATAATTCGAAAATCATCATTTATTCGTTTTTTTTATTCAGTATGTTCTAAACGATAACTGTTAAGTATATACTTTTAGTTACATTATACAAACTGAGCGAAGTCCGTCTATTGTTTGACTAGTTCCACGATTACCATAGATAACAAAAACCTAAAAAGGAAAAAGCCTACGATAACCGGAACTAGTTAACGTATATCAGCTAGCTTTCAGCTCATAAGTTTATCTTAATAATCATATAATGTTGTGATAAACTGTTATGACCAGTGGTTGATTGTTCTGACTGCGTCAACAATTGTTATACCTAGTCGTTGCCGATTGTTATGTCGCAATCGCCCATCACGTATACTTGTGAAGCGAGGAACCACTTCAGTTCCCAAGACGCGGAAGTAAGAACACAAAAACGACAATCCTAGTCTAAAAAGCACTTATTTATATATTGATTTTACACCCATTTTGATTAATAATTAGGATGAAGTCACATATATAAAAAACACTTTCATATGCTACATGTCATGCTGAGCATAGTTCATGTTAATTGGATACAAGAATATCATAAGTTATACAGAATAAAATGTCATACGGGAAAACAGTAACAAATATTACATTGAGTAATCATTTCATTGAATTAGAGCGGAAGTAATGTGGAAGAAAAATCATTATGAGTAAATCAATCTAATTTCGACTTTTCATACCGTAATATCATAAAAAATGATCAAATATATAGTACTTTTTATAGTTTTCAAACCAAAAACTGACCTTAGTTAAACTACTTTTGAAAAATTAGAAACAATAAACGACTACTTCTCAGCAGCTCGTATCCATGATCTCAAAACCAGAAACAGAGCTCAGGGCTTTCGTTAACGTATGTTAACGCCTAACCTCTATACTACTGAGCCGAGTCTGAGATAGTTATCGATTCCAGGTGATGGATCATGATCACATAATATTTTGTGAACTGATTGCACTTAAACATTGACATCTTTGAATGCCAGCTCAGTAGCCTAGAGTTCGCGCGCAAGGCTTTTTATTTGTGATTTGTTCACTGATGCCTGCTGCTAAAGATTGCCATACCAGGAATGCCTGTCAAGTACTTCCGTGCTTTCGCTGATGGTCGACTCGTTATTTAAAAACTATGGAAATTCTCTTACCTCCACAAAACCTCAAACTGATATTTAGCACCTGCTAAAACATAAATATCTACATTACTAATCCTTCATGAAATCAGAACAGAGGCTGTAAATCAAGTACTATTAAACAATGAGTGAATATATAGTACATTTAAACAAATAAAAACACTTCACTTACAGGATTTTATTTGTTGATTGCTACATCAAATACTAAACATGATCTGGATTGAAATCACTAAACAAATATCAATCATCATTAAGAACATAATTCTAATAATGATTACACTACTTCATATTAAAGTGCATACATATAGTGTGTACTCGTCAGTGTACAGTATATTGTTTTCAACAACATTCAAATAACCATTTATAAACATCAATTTAAATACTTATAGTCATATTATCATTCAAATATCTAAATGACAAGAAACAAATTGGTTATGGTTATATTTGTAAAATGATTCCTTTCAATGAATCACATCTTATTTATCATATAGTATAACTAATTTCTATTGTATTGTTGTATTTTTAATTTATAGGACATTGTTGAAATCTACTTCAGTGCTTGTTATAGTATTTGGTCTATATCATCTATTTTTAATACCGTTAAATTTAATGCAAATTAATACACATACTAATGGACCTGGATTACTTGAAATAATTAAACTTTATTATGAACAGATAATGGAAGCTTTTCAGGTAAACCCTGACTCTATATCATTTTAATAATCTGTTTTAAAACTAATCAGAGTTGACAGTATTTTTAAAAAATCATTTATTCATTAATAAATTAGTATTAGAAAACCTCAGGGAAATCAAAATTCAGATCATATATGATGTAATAAAGTTGGTCTATCCTAATCAAATTCATAATTTAGTATACATTGGTAACCGTATATATTCATTTAATTAAAGTTAATCATATAGGAAGCATGAATTAGACTAAAGAAATTAGTTTAAAGAAATACGATGAAAGGTTAAACATGAAAATATCAGTAGAAAAGAATATATTTTATAGTGAGATAGAAAGTATTTAATACCACCGTAGCAGCCGCCTCCAAAACAGTAAGGATAAAGATTATCAAGATAATAAAATGTAAAAAAACGAGCACCAAACAAATCACATTTGATGGAGAAACTTTGTGAGAAGTAGAAACCTATTCATACGTATATAGGCAGCATTACAGATAATCGTACTCCATAAATTGTAAACATATTTTTTTCTAAATCCGCCATTAGCAAAGACTAACTCATATTCACCCTATTTCAATATTCTATTTAATCACAAACATGTTTTCAGATATATATGATAAACGATATGAATCCAGTTAGATAATTTAGTTTCCTCACCATTCCTACTCAAGCAGTTGACTTGGAAGCTTTATTATTATTGATTGCTGAAATGACTAAACGATTACATTTAAAACCGAGTAGTAATGCTGAATTAAGTTGTTTCGTTTTTAGACTAAGATGCTTATTGCAGTCACGCTAGCTAAATATTGCAATATTAATTTTTTAATGATTTTCAGGGTTCATTTGTTGCCATTCTACTTTGTTTTATTAATAAAGAGGTAAGTTGTAATAAATGTAATCTGCTTATATTGATTGATGTATATTCCTCTGAAAAAATATCATTTCATCAGTGATAAATAAGTATATTATGATCTAACTACGCCCTCTCACAGTTCAGTTTGTATATTATAATGTTGAGTCAAACCACCGATAAACATCAAACGGTAACAAACAGTTATTTTGTCCTAGCATAGAACTTATCAACATTGCTCATACACGACTGAAACAGCGATGAAACATTGAAATTTGAGTTTACAATTTGAGCACATAATCTATAAGCTACTAGTCTTGCATCCAATATTCCACTTTCCTGACCTTAGTTAATTATCTATGAGACAGCTATTACCGACGATAATGTTTGCTGGTTGTGTAATATTACAAATATGAAAGCTGTACGAAAATTCTAGGCATAATCGTCTAAGAGTTCAACAACAGTATGCATTGACTGTCCACAGTACTCGATTTTTCTAGCATTTATCAGTCTATGATTGCTTATACATTGCTTATACAGTATTCTATTCATAGGTAGAGATAAAATTTGAGGTAACAAATACTCTTCAACAAAAGACAAATTATTTTAAAACTATTTCTGCATATGTATATATTGCCTTAAATAAAATTACAGCTTTTAAGCTAAATACTACTGTAAATTAGACTTATGCACATGACTTGGTGGAAAAGTATTTCTAAGAGAAAATGATAGTACAGTTGGTTGATTAATGGGAGCTACTGAGATAGTTAAATTATAGGTGATGGATTTTGATAACAAAATTTTTTTCCAGTATACCCTAAACTCATTTTATTACTTATAACTATAATTTGATGGTTAGTCAGACGCAACTTAGAACTTCACACAAGTCCAACCATATATTCCTAAGAAAAACAAATAGAGTACATGTAAATTCATATGACTTGAATTTATTATTTTGTAATGGACTATATATTCTCACAATAATTATGTATACATTAAAATTTCAATAAATCTCTTTTTGTTATATTGCAGGTTATCTCTGAATTTAAACGTGTTTATCGACGTAAACAATATCTTCACAGTAATACAGAAAATCGGCGTCAAAGTGTTTGGTTCAATAATCAAGATGTGCCATATGAATCTGGTGAACGACAAATAGATACTAATCCTGGAATTAAATTGTCGAAAAGCCCATCTTTAAGTTTAAAACAAAAGTCATTTACCGATAGATTTCATAAAATAATAAAACATCGGTCGAATGATAAGTTTCGACGACCATCTGGTCTAAGAAGACCATCACCCCTTTGTCGAAATAGCGCAATAACAACATAATAAAAATATTTTAATTAATATTACTTGCATAATCTTAAAATTCTTATAGATATTGTTATTACTTATCCTCCAGTATACTTTCAATCTTTATTTTCTTCTGATGCTATCTAGTTAAAACGAGTCCAGCTTTCTTTCTATGTAAGACTAATAGACAGAGTTATTTAAGATGTATAAAGTTCAATCGATAAAGACACACCGAATCTATTTCTTACGGTTCCAAACATTTATAAATTAAATGATGTACGTTTGTTCGGATTATTGATGATAACAATGATGTTGATCATGATGATTTGTATAAAATAGCAAAAGCCATTCAAATGAATTACATTTTATTTGAATATCAAAGTTTATATTTTGTTGAATACTTCTGTTTGTTTTTTTTTTATTTTGCCAACTTCACTGCTGTACAAAAGATGATTTCTTTAAAATTAATCGGATATAAAACTAGTATTGTATTATTTTGATATTAAAAAGAAAATAATAATAAAGATAAATGTTCTCTATATCGATTTTTTTAAATAACTAATAATATTTATGATTTAATAGAATTTTGAGATGGTGGAAAAGATTTGTAGTTCAGGTGGGTGATTTTGATGGAGTTTTGTTCTCTGAGCTGGATGGTTTGATCGTGGAGCTTCCATCGTTCTTCTGAACGACATCATCAGCACAAACTTCAGAGACACAACCTAAACAAAGGTGTAAACAATGACAAATTTAAAGTCAATAAGAACCAATCAACGTCGAGGTGTACAGAACAAGCTGTGAAACGCATATGGAGAAATTCGAACACTTCAATTCTATCTGAAGTTTGTGCTGATGATGTCGTTCAGAAGAACGAGGAAAGTGTTATAACGTGAAAAATAAATGCTTCTGACTAGAGGGGTAGCGAATTATTGATCGAACCAAAGACGCGCAAACACGTAGAACGACTTACGGTTCTGATTGGTCTCGCTTCCCTGTCTAGCCCACCCAGATGAGTCCAGAACACAAGTTTCACCCTCGGATTTATGAATCATTATATTTCAAACATACTTTGTTTATATACCAGTCAAGCAGTCCACAACGTACCATAAAATAGAAGATAACATTGTACAATAATGGCCAACAGGAAAACAATACGTTAAATAAATATTGACCAATAAGATGATACCATTTCATGTCCAAGGATAGCATTAGGCTTAACAGGATAATTTTTGGGATATTTCCCTGAATATCCCAACAGAAAGCTCCACGACCAAACCATCCAGCTCAGAGAACGATATTCTATCAAGATTGATAGAATCAAATAAAACTTATCAAATTCTTATTTATTTAAATGACAAGTAAAATCCAATTGCATTTTAAATGATCATTATAACCATAAAAGGCAGATTGTCGTTTTGATATAAAACTAGACTGTTATAGCATTATTCAGAGGTTGTTTACTTTTTGTTTGTTTGCTTTTCTATCTTATTACAAATATATATGTAGTATGGTACATTTGTAAGGTTGAATGAAGTGATTCTTCTATGAAATTTAAACCTATGTTATACTGGATTATAACCAAAATAATATGAGAATAAAGATTCAGTAAATTTTGTTAACTTTAACTCATCACTACAAATTTAAATGGATCACAATAGAGAATCAATAATTCAAGTGTTTACATAAGAAATTCATTGAAACATTTCGATTAATAATAATAATAGTAATAATAATAATAATGATACACAAAATTAGCTACCAATAATCAGTTTATAGGTATCTAAGGTTAATATTCTTCGAAATTACTACTCATAAGTAAAACTTTATATTTCAGTGGTTAAAAAGTTTAAATTTGTGATTATTTACAGTATAATCTTTAAATAAGAGTGAGAATGTTCAAGAAGTAAATAAAAATAGTCGTTAACTTTTAGTGGGGCCCTTTAATTGTCGTCATTTAGATCGGACGATGTTGTCGAAAGGGCTCTCCAATTTAGTGACCCGACATCTGATTCCAAGTAGATCGTATGAATGATTGTTATTGAAATATATATGTCGCCTATCCTCGTATATAATCATCTACTTAAATCGCGTTAGTCAATAACGGAATTAAGTCAAATAACGAGAATGGACGTTTGAATACATATATTTTGTATATGAAGCGAATGGAATAGGGAGAAACGAAACGACTTGCAGTGGAGATGGTGAGTAAGCCAACTCCCTTTTAGTCAAGCGTTAATCAATACTTATAGTCACACAAAAATAAGTTACAGATATTTGATGAATGGGATACGAAATGTACAACCACGTATGCGCTCATATAAAAACAGTCGAAATGTGACTCAAGTACAATGAATAGATTGACCTGTTCGAAAGCCAGAATAAGGCATATGGGTTTAGCATGTCAACCGACACTACATATCGTAAAATAATAATTTTATAAAGAAAATATAACCATTTCAAAAGGTAAATGAATAAAAATATCGAAATTTAGAACTATATTCTGGTATAAAAAAAAGAAAGAAATAATCATAATCTTGCCTAAGTAATAAATCATGCATAATTACGACTCATAAACGGTAGCTTATATATAGAGAGAGAAAAGCTGTAAGTACTAGACGGCCATTTCGTTCTAGTATAGGACTCTTCGGGAGTGTGCATCCATGATCCACGATACTCGAAAATAAAACTGAACATTTACGTCGTATAATTCAACTGTTCTTCTGTTTGATCTAAGTTGACTTGAGTAAAGTACTTAAATTTTTATATCAATAAAATACTGTGAATAGGCAGTTATTTTTTCTGAATCTAGTAGGGCTCAATCACTACGCTGTAGTGTCAATTACCATGTCAAGCCCATATACCCTATTCTAACTTTCGGACAAACCAATCTATACATTCTTTATATGAGTCACATTCTGACCTTGTTAATTATTTGCTTTTCAATCTTGACTGTTTTTATATCAGAGCATACGTGTGTGTACACTTATTATCCCATTACTCATCACATGTCGTTAACCTATTTTTGTGTGACTATAAGTATTGATTAACGCTTGACTAAAAGGGAATTGGCTTACCGTCCACCTCCACTGCAAGTCGTTTCGCTTCATATACAAAATATATGTATTCAAACGTCCATTCTCGTTATTTGACTTAATTCCGTTATTGACTAACGCGATTTAAGTAGATGATTATATACGAGGATAGGCGACATATATATTTCAATAACAATCATTCATACGATCTACTTGGAATCAGATGTCGGGTCACTAAATTGGAGAGCCCTTTCGACAACATCGTCCGATCTAAATGACGACAAAATAAAGAATCCTAATAAAACCTTTTTTTAGTAAAATGATAAATTTCATTGATTTAATCCTTCTCAGTATCTTAGTTTATATGGATATGTTATTTGTTTAGAAATTGGTTTAAATGTCTGCCAAGTGTTAAGCGAATACAAATGATATTTTAATTTTCATTAAGTTAAATTATATTTTAATTAATTAGACAAATATGGAAAGTCTTTATCTATCAATTAGAAAATACTAAATATATTGCACAAATGTTCCAAATATTTTATTGTATTTAATTATTTGCTTGCAAAATATGTATTATATAAGGTGGTATGTATAATTACTGCAAACAATATAATTACTGTATATATAAATGATGTAATGAATATAAACTGAAAGAAAACAACTCTTTATTCGATGATTATTTTATAGATTAAAAGGAACTGTAATCACCATGTAGGAGAAGTACTGAATAAAAGTTAAGATTACCTAGAATAAATCATATTTAGTTATGAAGTCAAACTTGTCTGTTAATTGATTACCTTGCTGGAACTGAAGTCATTCTGTCAAGTCCTTTGGTATGTTTGTACTCTGATGATTATGTTTCAATAATGCTATCCGATAACTTTATGCGATTTCATGTTAAATGTTCATTGTGCATTACTTGTAACAATGTCTGGCTCTGATTATTGACTTGCTTTTTGTTATTCGGATAAACATTTTTCAAGTGAAGTAATATGTTCATATAAGTGATAACTGATTTTCAGAAGTCTCAGACTCTCCTAATATACTAATCATCATTCAATCTTAAGAGTCCTCAAATATACATCTTCATTACTCCAATATCATTTTCAATTAACATTTCTCTTTTTATATATGATTACTATCATCGACAAATCAATGCTGTTGTACCATAACAATCCATTTTTTGGTCTGTGATATTTCCAATTTATACTACGAACGGTTCTGCAATCAATAACATAATATCTGACGAAATGTTTTATCGATACATTTTACGTGGTGTAGATAATAATATATTATAGCGTATTGAAAACATCTTAAAACCATATTTGGTAACAAATATGTGTGTATAATGTTCAAAAATCGTATCCCTATATAGTAATATGGTAATAGTAATTAATAATCTTTGAAAACATTCTATCTATCTATACCAGCTCTTTTGTATAGCAGTTTGTTTATTTCTCTCTTTATATGTAAATGTAATAATGAAAAGATCTTTTAAATTAAATAAAAAATCATGAAAGAAATCAAGACTTTTTTTTCAATAAATGTATTTAAGTGAAGCATGATTTCTGATGTCAATAGCCCAGTTCAGTAGCATATATTTAAAGTTATCTACTTTTAAGATAACAGCATTTTTTTAAAGTGTACACTGAATACATACATAAAGTATCAATTAGGAATACACCACTGAAAGTCGACAAGTATGAAAGCGTTTATGATAAAGTACACGATTATTATGATAAATCAATATCATTTTTATTAATATAAGTAATAGCATGTTTCTTAGTAGTCTGGAGTACAAAACAGGAAAATGCTATTAATGTGTTGGAGTTATTTTCTTAAAAAAACTTTCATCTTATTATTATTATTAGCTGGAATCTGAATATCGTGTGATTTAGTTGAAAGTTAGAAATCAATTTAATTAACTGTCATGTTTTCTATTATTAAGGAAAAACCAATCAGTGTATAAATTTCTTCTACATTATTTAGTTACTTTTATGATAAATTTACTTGCTTAATTCGTTACGCCTGTTACTCTCAATGGAGCACAGGCCGCTGACCAGCATTCTTTAACCCACTCTGTCCTGAGCCTTTCTTTCTAGTTCTGTCCAACTGTTGTTCATTCTTTTCATGTCTGTCTCCATTTCTCGCCGCAATATGTTCTTCCTCTTCTACTTTGGCATTGAGGAGTTCAAGTGGTGGTCGCCTTGTGGCGCAATTGGGTGCTTTCATCAATGTGTGTCCTATCCACTCCCAGCGCTTATTTCTGATTTCTTCCTCCGCTGGGATCTGACTTGTTCTCTCCCACAGTAGGTTGTTACTAATAGTGTCCGGCCAACGGATTCGAAGTATTTTGCGTAACTGTTAATAAACCCTTGTATCTTCTGGATGATGCTTTCGTAGTTCTCTAAGTTTCGTCCTCATACAGTAGAACTGTTTTGACATTTGTATTGAAAATTCAGACCTTGGTGTTGGTTGACAGTTGTTTTGAATTCCAGATGTTC